GGGGGCAGGGGTCCCGGGGGCAGGGCAGAGGCTATACATAGTGGGGCTGACCCCAGCCCCCGGCAGTCACACGCAGTCGACTACACGGACCGTCAGGGGCCCGGAGCTCAGCAAGGTGTGTGCTAGTGAGAGTGTGTCGGTGTGAGAGGGTGGCACTGAGTGCCAAAGTGTGTGAGTTGTGCAGCGACCATCACCCCCCGGACTATTTCGTTGGATACTCGTCGCCCTGCTCTGGATAACTTCGCCTCTACGAGATCTGCTCTTCGGTCCGACCCGACCCTGTGCGCGCGTCGTCTCCGCGAGTCGCGGGAAATTCAAAGAAAAAAAATTCTTCTCATTATTTTTTCGTTTCTTTGCGCGAAGAGGGGAGCGCGTTTGACGGATTTTGGGGTTAACCTTTTGACTCGTCTAGAGGCCAGTTTGCGAAGCTGTCGTGGCAAGGCGGTGAATTATTGTGAGAGTGAGAAAGCAGTCGCAGTTGGAGTGTGTGTGGAGAGCGAGAGAGACAGTTTCGCTCCGATCTCTAGCACGCTCCGTCTGCGGCGGTGACTCACCCATCCCCGTTGCACGACTTGAGACGTCCATTCTTAAATCAAAGTGGGATCGTAATGAAAGTTTGCGAAGGGACCTGAAAATGTTCGCGTTCACGGTCCATTGGGACTATCGCATTAGACTTTTGCAGTGGGACTATGAAATCTAATTGATTCAAGAGCAGTCTTTTGTTCTGGGTGCGCCTTGTTCTATTACCGCATTTAGTGAGTTCCCAGAGTTCTGGCTAGCCCGTGTTGTATACCAAGGAGCAGGGGGAAGCGTATTCCTACCGCCCAGACTTCTACAAGAGATTGAATTACCACTCGTCATAATAATAGTTAAGATGGGAGCATCGTACATCAAGTTCTGTCTGGAATGACAACGCTTGAATCGCAAACTAGATAATCACAAAAACCTTTTCAGGAACTTTTAAGGGGGTTGACAAAAAGAAGCATGGGTGATTCTCTTTTATTTGCGGTGTAGTGCGAGCAGCACGCGCCCGGCCCCAGGCAGCGCAGGGCAGGCCGACTAAAATAGAGGACGTCAGGAAAACATCTCGTGGTTACGCAGATTCAGAGGGCTCGGCGGGGCGGGCGAGACGTACATTCCGAGACAGAAACGCCTGTTCGGGGAAAAAATATTTCTGATTCGTAAAACTTTGACTGACGATGTGTTTCTCTCCTTGTTGCAGTACCTAAAGTACAAACAAACCAGCCAAGATGTGTGACGACGATGTTGCTGCTCTCGTAGTCGACAATGGCTCCGGCATGTGCAAGGCCGGCTTCGCCGGTGACGACGCTCCCCGCGCCGTCTTCCCCTCCATCGTCGGTCGCCCCCGTCACCAGGGTGTCATGGTCGGTATGGGACAGAAGGACAGCTACGTCGGCGACGAGGCCCAGTCCAAGAGAGGTATCCTCACCCTGAAGTACCCCATCGAGCACGGTATCATCACCAACTGGGATGACATGGAGAAGATCTGGCACCACACCTTCTACAATGAACTCCGTGTCGCCCCCGAGGAGCACCCCGTCCTGCTCACCGAGGCCCCCCTCAACCCCAAGGCTAACCGTGAAAAGATGACCCAGATCATGTTTGAGACCTTCAACTGCCCCGCCATGTACGTCGCCATCCA